CTGATTCTCAGCTGCATTTTGGCTCCTTTACACTTTAAAGCCCCTTTACATGACCAGATTTGGTCTCCTGGAATTCTTCTATTCAGCTGCATAGCAAGGAAATCTCTCTGCCCCAAAAAGGTTCAACCTTCTAAAAGGTCAGATCCCCTTCAGCAGTTTACAAGAGCCAATGGCAATCTGTTTGAAAGGTTCCTGCCTCTCCACCACTCTCTGTAGCCCCTTGACAACCTGACTCACACTGAGGGTGCTGACAGAAGTGACAATGTTTGCCCAATCTGGCCCCTGAAAGTGCTCTACAGCTGTGATCTAACACAAGTGTATGGCTGCAGAGCACTTTAAAAGGGCCAATCCCCTGACAATCTGAACCCTCATTACATGAGGGTCCAGATGACGGTATTCCCAAATGAAGTGCCTTCACTAATTTGTGTCTGCATGTGCTGGGAGCATGGCTGCCCAGCCCTGCTCTGGGTGCTGTTTTCAGAATGGGGGGGGGGTTGCCCAGCTGGAGGGTGGGGCAGGTAGACTGGAGCCCCCCCGCCAAGGTGGGGGCTCTAATTCACCCACCCCACCCTCCAGTACCTTCCTCCCCTGCCTTCTCCCCCTCCCATCCTGAGACAGCACTGGGGGCTAGAAGAGGGGCTGGGGCTGGGGCGGGGGGAATAGGCTGCAGAAACATAACCTCTCTCTCTGGATTGGCTCCAAACTGGAGCTTGATCCTCCACCCTCCCAACCCAGCAGCTAATGTCTGTTGGGTCAGGAGAATCAATGTAACTCGTGGGACCTGCATTTCTGTCTGTGCCCAGGGGCTGTCAGGGGCTGTGCCAGCCCAGCAACTGCATAGCAAGAGAGAGAAGTGAAGCATGTTAGTGTAGACCTTGCAAAAAAAAAAGTGAAAAAAGAGAAAAAAATGGCCATTGTTTGCTGAGAAGGAGAGAAAAATCTGGCATGGTCTGTTTGATTCCTTTTCTGCTCTGCCCCACACTCCCTCCCTGAAAAATGAGGTGTCTCTTTTGACAGCTGCTGGAGCATCATTCTCCCCATCCTTGAGGCTCATGCTGAGCAGTTTCATGATGGCTCATCCCATTCACTTGTGTAAGCAGCTAATTACCATTCTATAATTAGCCACAGATGGAAGCACAGGCTTAGGAGGCAAATGCTGCAACAGAAAGGTATAAAGGGGACAGGCAGTGGGACAGGGAGTAGCTGAGCTGGGGGATGCTAAGATTGAAAGATGGGTTCAGACTAGGGAAGAATTTCATCAGGGAAGGGGGCAAACAAATGCATGAGTCAAAATGTGTCAAACAAATGTCAATTTTGATGCAGATGTTATATTACTGGGAATATAGCAGAAATAAGTATTCAAACTGTAAGAATTATCTAGCTTTTGCATAAGGCTTATTTTGTAGCAGATATAGACAACAGACAGTATTTGTTTATACACACATCCTGGGTAAGGTGTAGACTTATTTTACATTATCAGAACATTTGGAAACATGGCAAGAATGTTTGATGGTGCTTATTAAATTCTCAAGGAAATGATTCTCTGAACAACTCCTTCAGTGAAGACAACAATCAACAAACAAAACTTTGGCTCTATAGAGGGAACTCACGATGCCTGCAAGCAGCCTCAAGTACACAATGAATAGGAACCCTTCAAGTAGAGCAAAAACTTCTCACAGCAGTTCCTTTGAGCTCTCTGAAGGGGAGAGAGGGGAGGGCAAGTATCAACAGCGCCACTCAAAAGCAATCTGATCCACTCCTGCTAGTGCCTTTGACCAAGTCAGCAAATCTCATGGTCAGCTGTCTCAAATGTCTAAAGGAATCATTAGCTTCTTCCACTATCAGAAGGAGTAATGCAGCCAATAGAGCTTTTACCAAATATCCAAGCCAATAACACAACTGATTGCTGTCACAGAAATCTGAAGAATCAAGAATCTGCAAAAGTTGCCCTGAGAAAACCTTCTTAGTATCCTTCCCTAAAGTTGGCAGATGGGATACAGGTCAATAGTTAGCCAGATTGTTGACAGTAGCATTAGGTTTCTGAACTCTGGTGCCCAGATTTCTTGTGATGAGAGGATTTCAGAAATGGGTCTGGATTATGTGATTTATTTCACCAGCTGTACACATGCATATATCCTTAGGGGAGTAATATCCAGAGAAAAAAGCCTAATTATTTTTAGTGAAGGGGTGGGCACTCTTGTGCCAGGGTCTGTTTAATGTGATGGGCCGGCATCAGAAATGATGCTCAGGGGCAATCAGCATGGATTTATTAGGGGGAGATCATGTCAGACCAACCTGATTGCCTTCTACGATCAGGTCACAAAGGCCATGGATGCAGGTGTCGCGGTGG